GAGAAAGAGAGAGAAGGAAAGAAAAGAGAAAAAGAAAAAAGAAAAAGAAAAGAAAAAGGAAAGAAGAGAAGAAAAAGGGAAAGAAAAAGAAAGAAAGGTGAAAAAAAAAGGGGGTGGGGGAAGCAATCAGAAATCAAAAAGAAAAGAAAAAAGAAAAGAAAAAAAAAAACACGGGGGAGTATTTCTGTAGAGTTTAAGTCCCTTGACTTCCCCTGGAACTGGTCCGTCCAGCTGGTCTTCTGGGGGAGGGGCCTGTTGCGCTGATTTTCAGGTGTTAGCACTTGGGGGAGCTGCTCTGCCCCTGCCTGCTGCAGGGCTCAGAGGGGGTTGTTTACCCCGTGAGGTCTCAGGAGGAACAGTTGCAGTTGCTATGGCAACTCTGGAAGCCTGGATTCAGCCTCCGCAGGAACTCGGGGCTCTCGGCTCTCCGTCCGCAGGGCCTGGAGGCTCCGGGGCGGGGCCGTTGATCTGCTCAGCTCGGGGCAGGAGCGTCCTTGCTGTCCTGGGCCCTCCCGGCCTCTGCCTGTCCCGGGGGGAGGCCGGATCCTGGGCTGTGTCCCGGCGCCCTGTGCTCCGGGCCTGCGTTGTTGGATTTGCGCTCCCGCCCCGCAGCTCCCTCCCTGGAGCCGCTCCCGAGCCCCTCCGAACTGCTCCGGTGCGTGCTGCAGCCCTTAGGGAGCTCGGAGCACTCTCCTGCGCTCGCAGGTGTCTGTTAGTGTCCCCGGGAGCCCGAGGGCATCCCCGCCCTCCTGGGTCCTGCTCCAACTCCCTGCGAGCCCCTTTCCGCCCGCCCGGGAAGGTTGGTGCAGCTCCTGCTCCTCCGGGACGGGGCTCTCCTGTCCTGGGGACACTCGCCCCGGCCTCAGCCCGGCTCCTCGCGGGGCCCCTCCCCCTCGGAGGCCTTTTGTTTCTTTATTTCTTTTCCCCGTCTTCCTACCTTGATAGAAGCGTGAACTCCTCTCACTGTAGCATTCCAGCTGGTCTCTCTTTAAATCTCAGGCCGAATTCGTAGATTTTCAGGATGGTTTGAAGGTTATCTAGGTAATTTGTTGGGGACAGGTGATTTGGGGACCCTACTCCTCCGCCATCTTGCCCCTCCTCCCTGGAGAGGAAAATTTATTTTCAAGCAGAGGTTAACAATGAGTATAAGGTTTGGGGTAGCTTGCCTGGCATGTCTGAAAGCAGCAAAGAGTTGGAGTGAAGTAAATTTGAGTGTCCTCAGTAGGAGATGAGGGTAGAAAGGGATCTAAGTCATGTAAGACCTTTATCTTGGCTTTCACTCTGAATGACATGGGAAGCCATTGGAGGGTTTTGAACAGAGGAGTGATGTGATCTGTGAGATTGCCAGGTTGAATTCTGTTCATACAGAATTCAGTATGGAGTTGTGCAGTGCTGTAGTCCTGATCTGACTATGTTTTAAAAGAATTACTCTGGGGCGCCTGGGGGGCTCAGGTTGAGTGTCTGCCTTCGGCTCAGGTCGTGATCCTGGGGTCCAGGGATCAAGTCCCACATCAGGCTCCCTGCATGGCGTCTGCTTCTCCCTCTGATTGTGTCTCTGCATCTCTCTCTGTGTATCTCTCATGAGTAAATGAATGAAATCTTAAAAATAAGAAAAATAAAAGAATTACTCTTGGCTATTGTATTAGAACTGGATTGCAGTGAGGGGATTAAGCTAAAAGCAAAGAGATAATTAGGAAGCTATTGCCATAATTCAAGTGAGAGAGAGTGGTAGCTTAAATCAGAGGAGAAGCACTGGGAGGTGATCAAATTCTGGATATATTGGATAGTAGAGTTGTCAGGATTTGCTTGTTGATTGAATTATGGGATGGGGGAAAGAGAAGAGGACTTAATTAAATGGAAATGTGAACCTGCCATTAAGTGAGATGGGGGAGACTTCACGGGGAGCAGAAATTTAGAAGCTTGATTTGGGACATGTTAAGTTTGAAATACTTACTAGAAATCCAAGTGGAAATGGTTAGTGTAGCATTGGGTATACAAGTTTAAAGTTCAGGAGAGAAATATGGGCCAGAGTAAATTTATATGCAGGATATACACCCCCCCACATACATATATACATATATAGGATTTATGTAGGATATGTATTTATGTGTAGTATTTAAAGAAAATATTTTTAGGGGACTCTACACATTGATCTATAATCTCCCTTTTCATGTAACAAGTCTTTATGGACCAAGTTGAGGATTTGGATAGTATAAGCCTTGAGAGAGTTAAACTAGTGGAGTTGTATGATTTGGCTGCTGTGGGGAAGATGAATTACACAGGGGCAAAAGTAAATGCTGGGGGAATGTAATTAGGTTTTATAGTAGTTTGGGTGAGAATTAAGGATGACTTGGACTTGGGGGCTTTGGGGATGGAATGTGTTCTAGTTAAGTATTGCTGTGTAATAAAGCATTCCAAACTTAGCATGAAGTATTTTTATTCTGTGGGTCAAGAATTCAGACAAGAGGGATCCCTGGGTGGCGCAGCGGTTTGGCGCCTGCCTTTGGCCCAGGGCGCGATCCTGGAGACCCAGGATCAAATCCCACATCGGGCTCCCGGTGCATGGAGCCTGCTTCTCCCTCTGCCTGTGTCTCTGCCTCTCTCTCTTTCTCTCTCTGTGACTATCATAAATAAATAAAAAATTTAAAAAAAAAGAATTCAGACAAGGTATAGCAGAGGTGGCTTGTGTCTGCTTCAAATATCTGAGATCTCATGAATAATTGAAGAGTTGAGATGATCCAGAAAGCTGTAGGATTCTTTACTCATATGTCTTCTGCTTTCACTGGGATGATTTAAGGGCTGAGTTCAGCCAGGACTGTCAAACAGAGAACCTACATGTGGCCTCTGTGTGCATCTTGGGCTTCTCTAAGTCTGGAGACTGAGTTCAGCAGGTAAGCACTTGGAGAGAGAATGTTACCCAGGACCAAGGCAAAACATGCATTCTCACCTCTACCATGCTGCCCTGGTTACAAGCATGTCAGTATGACCAGCTTAGGTTAAAGGAAGAGGAATTAGACTCCATCTCCAGGGAGGAGATGTCAAGGTCCCATTGTAGAAAAGCATATGGTATAAGAGATTTTTCAGTTATCTTTGGATAGCATCTCCCAGAGAAGAAAATGACACAATTCAAGATGCATTTAAGAGGTGGACTTGATAGGGCTGGGGAATGATTGAATTAAAAGATGAAAGAGGAATCGAGGATTCACTTTTATTTATTCTACAAATATTTAAGTTCCTACTATATGCCTTGTACTTTTCTAAGATGATTCTGAGAAATGAATGATGATGATGATGCCATTTACTGATTTGGGAAACACTGCAGGGAAAGGCACATATGATTAAATCAACTTTTAGTATATTGAGTTTGACGGTGCCTGTGACGTAGCATCCCAATGGAGATTTCCAGAAGGCAGTTGAATATAAGGCATCTAGAATATAGAAGACAAGAATTAGAATAAATTTGGGAATTATCAGCATAAGGTAAGAGAAGGAAAAATTGTCTTGAGAAACATGAATATTTAATGAACAGCTAGAGGAGAAAAATTTGGCAAAGATGATTGAAGAAGAACATCCAGAGGAGAAAGAAAACTAGGGATAGTGGCATCAGAGATTCTTAAGGAAGAGAGGGTTTTAAGAAGAAGGTGGTGGTCACTGTGAGAGATTCAGCCAGGAGGTCAGATAAGAACAGGATCAAAACATACTCATTATTTTTAACAATCTGATAAAGGAGGCTATATTGAGAGAAGTTTTGAGGAATACTGAGTATGGAAGCCAGATTGGAATTGGTTCAAAAGTTAAAGGAAAAAGACTATGTTGATATATCTAGGAGTTCGGCAATAAATGAAATTAAAAAGAAATCAATGGGAATTAGGAACGCCTGGGTGGCTCAGTGCTTGAACAGTCTGCCTTCAGCTCAGGGCATGATCCTGGGGTCCCGGGATCAAGTCCCGCATCGGGCTCCCTGCAGGGGGCCTGCTTCTCCCTCTGCTTGTGTCTCTACCTATCTCTCTGTGTGTGTCGCGTGAATAATTAAAATCTTTTTTAAAAACTGGAATTAGCCAGCCTAGAGAGAGGCATGGTGAAATTATAACATATATTAATTACTTAATCACTTATATCACTATATATTATTAATAATTATTATATAATTAGTGATGTTTTAGGGAGAAAAGACTCTCCCTTGGGAGACTATAGCTTAGATTGAGTTCTAGTTTCTGCTCTAACTCTCCTCGTAGTTCCTGAACTAGTAGTGCTTTAGGAGATAGGACATTGCCATTGTCATAGGAAAAAAAATTAGATCAGTGCAAGTGATTTTTGTGGCCCTCTTTTTGGGCAATTGAAGTTATTCACTATGTTTATACTTAAGGAGGGTGATGTGAAATTATCTTTTACCCCTCTGAATTCTACGGTCAGGTCTGCTACATAAGTCCTGTACCATCCTATATTTTGCTTGGCCTTTTGCCTGCCTTATCCCAAAGCCAATTCACTTCTTTTTTCTACACTGAAATATTAATGTTGTTTGTGAATAATTTTTTGAGAAAGAAAACATAGGAGAAGGAATTATGAGAGCTATTTTAGTTCAGTGGACAATCTGAAAACATCCTTAAGATATACTTTTAAGATATAATTGCATATATTGATGGAAGACAACATGAAATAATAAAAACACTACCCTGGGCTAAATTGGGGGTGGGGACTCAATTCTGATTTTGCAAATTAATTTTGTAACCTTAGGTAGGTCACTTCCTAAAGTATAAAATGAAGGAGCTTATGTTAGATGCTTTTAATTTGCCCTTCTTTCTATAAGATTCGTTTCTGTAAAATCTCTTCCTAGGAAAAGTTTTGTTGACTATAGAATAACCACTGTATTTTGTCTGTAGGGCTGCAGAGTAGAGCTGAACTAATTTTAATATTTTGTGTGTGTGTGTTGCTTCTGCTCTTTTACTCATCAGTCATCAGAAAAATCAAGATATTTTTTGTTGGATTCATTTCAGGTGCCCTAATGCATGAGTTATCAAATGATGGTGCTCGTAGACAGTTTGAATTTTATCTGGAAGAAATGATCCTGCCTCTCATGGTAGCTAGTTCCCAGAGTGGGGAACGAGAATGCCACATAGTAGTGCTTACAGATGATGATGTGGTTGATTGGGATGAAGAGTATCCCCCACAGATGGGAGAAGAGTATTCACAAAGTAAGTACTGTGGCATGTTTTCTCTCTTAAATCATCACAGATTCTTTATCTAATACCGATCAAAGGACAGTTTTTATAAAGTACATTGAACTCTTACCTACGCCAGGAGTCAGTAAACTACGAGCTGTGGATCAAAATCCAGCCTATTGCCTGTTTTTATAAATAAACTTTTATGTATTGTCTATGGCTGCTTTTGCGCTACAATGGCAGAGTTTAGTAGTTGCAACGGAGACCACATGGCTCGCAAAGCCCAAAAAGTATTTACTCTGGCCCTTTACAGAAAAAATATGCCCACCCCTGTCATGCACAGAAATGGTTTGCTCTTTGTTGAGTATCTGGATCTTGATAGATTTTTTTTCTTTGCATTTAGAAAGAAGCCTTCTAGGGAAGTAGATCCTGGAGTAAATAGATTGTTAAAAAATCAGCTGTTTTTTTTTAAGATGAATTATTATTTTTGTATGTAAAATGAGAAGCTTCAATGCATTGATTTCTAGGGTGACTTGATGTTCTAAGATGTTCCTCTTTAGTATCATATGTGTTCCTGGAGGATATAATGACCCTTCAGAACGTTTTGTGGAACTATATGTATTTCTGACCAAAACAGCTTATCTTGAACAACGATGACTTTCCTTACTACACTTTCAAACTTTTTCTGATTGGAGCCTTTTGATTTTTTGAGTTTTGTCAGAAAACTTATATTTTTCTTGATGAACCCTGTATAGTATTTTTGAGCTGTTTTATAGATTTGAGAAGATAGAGTTAAAAGAATGATTTGAGTAACTAGGCAAAATAGTCCAGCATCTTGTTCTGTATGCCAGCCTGTGTTGACTTGGTGAAGATGAGGGCTTAAGTAAAAAATAACAGGAATATAGAAAGTTACCAGAATGCTTTAATCTCTGATTTTTTCATTTTACTTATCCCTATCTAAAATCAAAACAAAGCAGACTCCAAGGGGTATTCCTTTTGACTTCTACAGATTTTGAAAAGATTATTTTAACCTAAGTTATGATAGCACTTTTTAGAATTTACATTGAGATGTTTCCTTTGCATGATACACTTAATGAGTGTTGTGATTCTTCTCTGGACAGTTGTAATAACAGACATTTTTGTGTATTTCCTCATTCCTATCTTCTTTGCTGACAGTAGTTTCTGTCATAATATGTGGAATAAAAAGTCAAACAAAACACAGGAAAAATGAAAGGCTAACAAAAATTAAAATAAATATACATTATTTTCTGTTAAGAAAAATGAATGAATAAGCCAAAATAAATTATATTTTAGTTTTCAAAAAGTTTGACCTCCAGGAGAGTAGAGCCTGCTGTAGAACACAGAAATTATAGCGATAGAGGAATTCTGGTAGACCCAGCTTTTCCTTTTCAGTTGTTCCATTTTCCGTGTCAGTGTTCTTTGTTTTCTTGTTTTTCATCTTAAGCTTTGAAGCTTAAAAAGGACTGAAAACATTTTTACATAATTTGTCTAAATATATTTCATTTTGTGCCAAGATGTTTCAACCTAAAGAAGATTCATTTGAGGAGACACAGCCTCTACAGTCTGATCTTCCTACCTGTGGCTTTATGACACCATCCATTCTGAGATGTCAGCAAATCTTTATCTTAAAAATATCAGTAATCTTAAGGATGTAAATCACAAATTTATCCCATGAGTAGCATCTGTATATGTATTTTCCTTTTATTGGCTCTTAAACCAGCATGTTTGGTTTGTGAGTGTGTTTTTCTTTTTTTGAAAAAACCTTTGCAGTTCACCTTTTAAGGGAGATAACTCCACCTGAAAGAGAGAAGGCGAGGAAGGTCCATCAGTCTAACTCCCTGAAGTTCCCAGCACATTTGGAAGACTCAACATGTCAGTGGAATGTCTGTCCTTTACAAAGCCAGTTTGCTCTAAACAGACTAACCTGGGCAGAACATGCTCGAATCTGCCATTTTTAACATCAGTATTAAATGGGGCTGTTCGCCTGAATTGAAAACAGTTTGTGGGGAGGGTCTTTGCCTTTTGGGGGAATTATTAATAGTTGCTCAATCCATGAAATATAAGATGTATCCATTTTGTACTCTGTGACAAGGCAGTTTTTTCTCTTCCAGACGAGGCCTTGTAGGCATCATAGCAAAGTCCTTTACTTTGCCTGCTCGATAACGATGTGATATTACCATCTTTTGGTTCTCTTATTTGAAGAAAGTGGGGCAGATTCTATTGCAATAAGTTTGTATATGATATATCTTTCAGAAGGACATTCTTCCTATGGATTGGGTTACCTGATTGGTTATTAAAGCTTTTTTTTTTTGTTTCAACTTAAGTAGACATTTGCTTATACATTAACTGTACTGAATTATCCTGTCATGTTGGCTAGTCATCCTTTTCGCATCACTGCATCCATTATTTGGGCTTTTAGAGTTGTCAGGCCCCTTTGATGATCAAGATAATTTTAAGTTCATCTCTAAGTACTTTGATTTTAATAAGAAAGTATTTTTGTCTTTTTGTTTCCAGTTATTTATAGCACAAAATTATATAGATTTTTCAAGTACATTGAAAACAGAGATGTGGCCAAATCAGTTTTGAAGGATAGAGGTCTTAAGAAGATTAGATTGGGAATAGAAGGTAAGACATTTTCATTATTTTCTATTTTCTTTAAAAAAAAAAAACCAAGGTTAAAATTGAATCCCATTTAGAATATAGCTTGAGAAATACATACTTTGAGAAAAACTCAAATGATGATTGAATGCTCATGCAGTACACCAAAAATAACAAAAATGAGCTTCCTTTATCTGAAAAGATAGAAAGCCATTAAAGATTATTATTTATTCCATAAGATTCCCTAATAGTAAGAAAAAGTGAGTTTGTCTTTTCTGCCATATTTCATCATCCCTATGCATTCTTGCCTGGTACATGTGTATACCTTTCCAAAAGATGGGCAAAGCCTTGTGCCCGTCAGAGATCATTGGTGTTCTTCAAAGCTCAACAGAACTTAAAACTACTATCTGAAAATGCATGTAAAAACATGTTAGTAGCTTCCTGGTTCTTAAGATATGATAATAGTTAACTTATTTTCACATTAAATACAGATTTCAAACTTATTTCATCTTGTTAAATGCAAACATTTTTAGATTTTTTTTTTACTTTATGATTTAAATGGATTTTTCCAGATGCCATGTCAGAGACTTCTTTTAAAGTGCCCTTTTACTAAGAACAAAATATCCCCCTCGGCATAATGTGGCATAGTGTAAAGATTAAAGGTTCTGGAGCCACATTACTTGTGTTCAAATCCTATGACTTAATAGTTGTATGACCTTGGCCAGGGCACTTAACTTCTCTGTGCCTCAGTTTCCTCATCTAAAATGGGAGCATTAAAGTACTTTATAGGGTTGTTATGATGACAGAATGAAAAACTTAAAACAGAGCCTGGCACATAGTAATTTCTCAGTATATGTTTGTGATGCTGATCATGAAGATCATGGTGTTGATCAATGACCAGCTGAGCTGTTGGAGATCGCAGTAATGGACTGCTGAGACATATGAGAAAGAATGACCAGAAATAGGATTTTGCAGGAAGGGGAGGAGACTTTGGGCTTAAGAACATCGTGGAATTGCTGACACTTTAGCTTCACCATTGTCTTCTGTCATTTTGTAAGTAGTGGGATTTAGCTGTTTGATTTCAGAGCTAGAGAGAAGACACCTGGAAGCTACTATAGATTGGGAGGATGAGGAAGGCTTCTCTCAGGCAGAGATATTTGAGCTAAAGCCCGGTGACAAGTAGGTTGGAGCCTGCTTGTAAAAAAAAAAAAAAAAAGCCTTATATACTATGTGAAGGACTTTGGACTTTCCCTTGAAGCAAGAGGAAATTTTTTGGTAGTTGGTAGTTTTTAAGCAAGGATGTAATAGGATTATACTTGTATCAGAGTGAGGATTCTCTGTGGAGGACAAATTGGACTATGATGAGATGGGAATTTTAAAGACTAATAGTCCAAGAGAAATCAAGGACAAGGGAATAGAGCTGGAGACCTTTCTGAACTCAAGTGTTGCCCTGGTAATTGACTGGAAGTACGAAACAAAAAAGACATTCTACAAAGAGTCTTTAGAAGATTTTTAGCTCTGCTTGCCCGAGCCCCCTCACCTGAGCCATATTACTTACATATGTAGCTAAATATACTAGCCACCAGTGATGCCAACGTACTTCCTTTATGCAGTAATTGAGTCCCTGATGTGTGAGGTCTTTCTAGTTTTTTTCTGATTCTCCTATAGTCTGTGGCCCATGAGCCAAATCTAGCCCATTGCCTCTTATCCCCTCCGTTGCCCAGAGTTTTATTGAAACATGGACATGCTCATTCATTTACATTTTTCTGTGGCTGATTTTACTTTACAGTGGCATAGTTGAGTAGTTGCAAGAGAAGCTGAAATAAACTTGAAATATTTACTATCTGGCCCTTTAAAGAAAATGTTTGCCAATCCCTGGTCTAAACTAGCAATTCTTGCAAGTAGGAAGGAGGGAAGGGACTTCTAATAATAGTTTTAAGCAGTTATGTCTGGAGAAATTGCCTTACTGGTAAATGACTGAAACTTTTCCCATATTAGCATTGTCTTCACTAATTGTTACTTTTCAGTAATTATCCAAGAAGAGGAAGGTATAATTAATCAGGGGAAGCTCCTTTGAATTGCCACTCTGGATGAACTGCTTGGTTGTTGGGAGTAGTGTTAAAATGACATGGGGCTTAAAATATTGGCTTTGTTGATCTAGGTGCAAAAGTATACCTAGAACTAGTGAAGCTGGAGAACTCTATAGCTCTTTATATGTTAACAACAAAAAAAAAGGGAAAGAAAAAAACCCAAAGCAATATAAAGATGAGATTTAGGTTTAAGGAAATTAGAAGGCTAATGTGGCAACAAATTGCAGCCCTTGAGGCGAGATGATCCCGTGAAGGGGAGGGTTCAGGGATATTAAGGGTATACAGGTAGAGTCCAATGCACGAGACTATGAACCATTCTGTTCAGGACTTATCCCCCCTCCATGCTTTTACTTGAATATTTTACTGGGTTGGTATGTTGAGCGGCTGAGAGGATGGTGGAAGCTTGTGTGAATTGCATCAGTAGGATTCCGGTTTCTGGCTGTTGAACTGGTGACAGAGATGGATTATTGATTTCCTTTCTTTGTCTTAATTTCTGTTTGTCAGGAACTACAGCAGAAAAGCCTTCTTTAGGCTAACTTGGGTGAGTTGTTTATGGGACTTCTCCCACTTGGGTGGGAAGTTTGGGTGAGAAGTGTGTGCATGCTTGTGTATGTGTGCACCTCAGTTTTTAAAACTTTTCTGTCCTCCAGGTTATCCTACCTACAAAGAAAAAGTAAAGAAAAGGCCTGGAGGCCGCCGAGAAGTGATTTACAACTATGTCCAAAGACCCTTTATTCGAATGTCTTGGGAGAAGGAATTAGGAAAGAGTCGGCATGTAGACTTTCAATGTGTGAAGAGTAAATCTATCACCAATCTTGCAGCAGCTGCTGCAGACATTCCCCAGGAACAGCTGGTGGTCCTGCACCCAACTCCGCAGGTGGATGAGCTGGATATCCTCCCCATCCATCCCCCTTCTGGCAACAACGACCTCGATCCTGATGCACAGAATCCGATGCTGTGATGCTGATGTTCCTTGAAACCATAGCATGCTACTCGTCACGGTGACGCTGCACTCTCCTCATTCTGCACTGCAAGGCCACTCTTTTCATCGTGAGATGCACATGACCATGTTTAGGATATTGCAGTGTAGGCTTTTTTAAAGACCAAAGGTAGCTGAATGGTTTTTAAGTGGTAAAGATTGGCAGCTGGGGTATTTTCAGCTTATATTGATATTCATCACACCCCAGGTAAAATGTAGAATATTATATAGGTGCACTTTATAAATGGTGGTTAAATGGAACTGTTCAAGCCATTTTTATAGTTGTGATGCACAATATAACTGAAATAAGTGCTTCTATCAAATTATTCCTTCAGTAAAATGTGTATAGTTTGCTGCCCATGATGGGCAAAAAAGGAGTATTTATCATTGGGCTTATTTGATTGATTAGGAGGAGATCTAATGCCCATATCTTATTTCTCTCCAGTGCTGTTTTCGCCCTTTTAGAGTGAGTCACATGCAGGAAGTGTGAACATCAGAGGTGGTTTATTATCCAGTCTGCCTTACCCTTAATCTGTTCAGATATTTATTTACTAATTTTTTTTCTCAAGAGTTATGGGATGAAATGTTTGCTCTTCATTTACTAAATGATTGTAAACTCAAGTTTTTCATCAATAAAATTCCATTGTTTTAATGTTTCTGATCAGCTTTATAACCACCTTGACCAGGTCCTTAGTCTCATAATTAATGGATTTCCTGTCTTATTGGTATCAGTGAAACTAGAAACCACCTGGTAGCTCACAGAACTCCCGATTTAGTTTACGTGTAATGAAGCACTTAGATGCCTTACTAAATCCACAGCAAAGGTAGACTGAAAAAACGTTTTCTAGTCAAACCTAAGAAGAGTAAAATGCCATTACTATGGTTATAGGGTAACCTTAAATTTCAGAGTCAATTTCTTACACTGGTTCAGTGCTTTGTCCATTATACTATGCTGTTCTTAGCAAACTATTTGTGCAGATGCTTTAAAAAAAATACCCTGTGGTCCAACTAAAGCAGGAAGTAGAAATACTTAGGTGCTTTGGGTCAGGGCTCACTTAATGTGTGAAGCCATACAACCATGAGCAGAGTGGGAGTTGTAGGCAAGAAGCCCATTTGTTACCATTAATCTTACAATGTCATAGGATTTGAAATTTGTGTTTAAGCAGTAATATCAGCATACTCACATAAAATTGCAATAATTTGGAGATTAACTATTCTAACAGTACAGCTAAGCTATTAACAGGGAAATTATGTGAGTCCTGGAACTGTTGCTGAAGGCCAGAAAGGCACTGTAAATGTCCTTGGCATGGCTTGTCCTTTAACAGCCACTGTAGAAAATTGATCCAGCCCTGTAGCACACAGGAATTTTTTTTCTATTTGAAATGTGAACAGTATTTATAGAACAAGGGAAACATTTATTAAAAATATTTAACTGTCTAATACTTAATATTAATTAATATTAATACTTTATTATACTTTAACCCATATTTATAGTAAAGGATTCTTACAAGGAAGAATAAATGGCTTTATGATACAATTAGTATAAGAAATATCCACATGGGGGACTTCTTTGTAGTGTAAAAACACCATACATCTGAAATGACCATTTGCATATAAAAGCTACCAATGATGCTTCTGTGCACGATGATTAAAAAATTCAACACAAACAGAATCCAAAATATACAATTAATGCAAGCTATCCACAGCTAGCCCAATAATCAATGATGAGGAAACACTGGAGCAGGCTTAGTTCCACTTTGTCTGAAGTTACACATAGTAAGATTGACTTGGATCAATGGCTCTGAGATGGCTTTTATGAAGACAGTACATAAAAGCTGTTCTCTCCTTATCCAGTAAGCTTCACAGACTGTAAAACTCCACCAGTAATGCACTTTGATACTGTAGCTGTTGCCAAAGCAACACGTAGCGTTTACAGCGGCCATGGCAAGTCGCTAAAGTCAACAGGACCACCCAGCCCAGCATCTGCTTCCAAGAGACTCATAATGACAGCCATTGCTGCTTCATCATTACTGGGACTACTTGAGCCTTGGTCGTTTTCTATCATGTCTATGCCTATGTGAGGGTTCTCACCTGTGGGAGGAGAAAAAGACTGGTCAGTCCTAATACCAAAGCATGTTTAACTTTCATAAGCAGTTCCTAAGCACACTTTTAATAAGAATGTTGTACTTAACAGTACGGTGGGAATGACGGGAGAGACTGCTTTGGGGCTGCATTGCCGTAATATATTTCCTTTAGTGTGTTTCAGAGAGAAGAACCAACTTTTTAGAAACAAGTGCTTAAAATGCAATAAAGATTGAAAGTATTTGAGTTGACCTCATCTTAATATTTTGACATAACCAGTTCTAGGGAGGGAGATGCAGAAGGAAAGACAAATGGGAATGTAGGGATGAAGAGAAAACAAACCATCCAGAATGACAGAGAAGATGGGTGACATGGGAGAAGCAAACTCTTTACCACTTTTAATACCTGCTGAAACACTTACTGATCATCCTTCCAGGCTTTATTTCTGAACCTTCCTTCATCAGCCCTCCCACTGAAGAGCTGATGGCCCACATGGAGGGAAAAGCCTGAGTCTAAGCTGCTCCTTTGAGTTCCAGGGACAAATCTGGAGCCCCTCACCAGAACTCAACCATTAAACTCAACTTTGAACTAAAGAGTTAAAAACTAAAGGTTAAAAATTTGCTTATCATTTATCTAGCACTAGCTTATTTTATTCATTCAGTTCTTAAAACTGACCTTAGGCCAGATATCATGCAAGCTCATTGCAGTGGAAAGGAGTAGTAATGCTACTTACCAAGAATAGAGGAACTATCAGAAGAGTACGGATAACCTGGATTTTCCTGAGCCTGCCCTGGTAGTAGGCCACTGGAAGGAATGTCTGGAGTCCCTCCATTTAAAATCTACAAACAAAAGAGAAGTTTTCATATCATCAACAATTTCAATCAGTACTGTGCTCGAGATCGTCAAGAAAATGAAGCATGTTGAAAAGAGAAAGGGGGGGGATGTGCTCAGTTTCCCATTGGATGATTTCAAACAAATTGTTAGGAATGGTCACAGTGAAAAAAAAAAAAAAACATCTCCCCAAATTATTTTCTCTATGACTCAGCCCAAACAGACACTTTAAAGGCCGAATGAAATCCCTAGAGCATTTGATTACCTTGGATCACATTATTCACATGATTAAGGCCAAGGACTCAGTTACCTCGGTGAGCTGATTAGATTTCAGAAGAGGCAGTGATTTCAGGTCTTGCCAGTAGGTGGCATTACTAATTTATTTCCGCAGTCTAGCTTTTTGGTAGGGAAACCTTGACACTGAGAATTGAGAACTCCAAAGAACTTTTGTTCACATACACTATATCAGTATTTTTTATATTTGAAAACTAATAAATTTCTAAAATCTAATAAACCGACTACATGTTAACATAAATAGCATTTTAATGAAAAATAGCTTTTCTAAAAGAGCAAAAAAGTATCATTGTTTTACTTTTTTTCCCCCAAATCCAATGTCTGCCTTAATAGGATTTAACTGGATTCTCATTTTCTTCAGTCTGTTTAGATGTTTGAAGTATATGAGGGAAGTCACATATGTAGTTGGGAAAGGTTCATCTTAATAGCCTTTTCAAATAACTTTGGTATTCTTTGATATTACATGGGTGGCATGGGGCCAACTTTACTCTCATGGCTGCTATCATTTCTAACTCCCATCTTGTTTAAGCTACTTTTACAAGTCCTGTTGCTGAGGACTCAGAATATATTCAGAATATATTCAGAATTTCTTCTCTCAGACCCATTTTTATAAGCCCAAAGAAAAAAATTTCTCATAAATGCCTCAAAAATACTTGGGACTTTGTGTGTGGAGTACATTAGAGCTCTGAAATTGCTGGTGTGGAAAGAATCAAAAGTCAAGAGACCCGACCTTAAGTTTGGGACTGTACTTTTAAATGATTGGCCCAGCATTTAATATTTGGGAGCTTAGATTTTGTCACAAAGTTGTGAGGCTAAGATTAGAAAATATATAGAGAAGTTCTCGGAGTAATATTTAAGCATTCTACTGGAGTGATACCCTTTCAAAACAGAGTAGTTTTGGGATTCTTGGTAATACAAGGAAGTCAAGTGCCTAAAAGTAGAGCTGAGAAGTAGAGAAGGGGAGACCACCCCAAGGAGATGGTGGGTCCAGTATGGAAGAAGGACCTAGGGATGAAACAGGAGAACAGACCTAAGAGCAAAACCTGCAAGCAGGGACTGGGGATGTACCAAGCCTAGGCTTTATCTCTTAGTGCTATCTTCTGAGTCCTTACCAAAGACCAGGCACTTTCACATATATTACCTCATAACAGGACTTAATGTGCAAAGATGCTGAGTGTCCTAACCTTTAGTAGCCCTTTTATAAAACAACAACTAGGGCTAAATAATTCTACAGGGTCACACAGCTAGCACATGGCAAAGCCAGGCTTCAAGCCCAGGTCTTTCATGGACCACTCTTACACATTAATTTATTGACTTTCTAACTTTTGGTGGGGGAGGGGAGGTGGAATCAAAACTTATTTTCAAATAGAAATTTTTACAGAAAATTCATATGTAAAAATAGAGCTGCCCTAGTAGAAGCTGACCTTACCCTCTCTACTCACCAGCCATCCTTGCCCATCCTACCTGGCAGCACCGCAACTCCTGGTAACCTGAGCCTCAGAGAAATGCAGTTTTGAAAACCCATGTCCTGCTTTTGGTATAATTTGTGTTCTAGGAGTCCTGTCTATATAAATTGCTAACATTTTTTTCTCTCTCTCTATGGTTTGGGAGCTAAGGGAAAGAAGACTATGTCCAAAGATGCTGGCCCTTGGGTCATCCTAACCTAAATTAACATCAGGCATTACAAAAAAAAAAAAAAAGAAAAAACAAGAAAACAAAAAACATCAGGCACTACAGATTTAGGATTTACAACTAATATGGCCCTACACTTGTAAATTCTCTGGCAAAGATGAAAACACATGAGTGGCCTCTAAGCCTACTGACGGCATAATCTTCCAGCCAACTCTTCATGAGGGCTGGTGACCGACACAGTACCTGTACCCAGTGCTGACACATCCTGGGAAACCCAGGCAGCAGAGCCCCATGCATTCTGCAGCTGTGAAGGCGTGGCTTGCCCTCCAAAGCACCCGCGTGCTCCTGCTAGTATCACGGCTTCCAGTGCCTGCACTAGAGACTAATGATATTTTCTCCCTTGAAAATTCTTGGCAGAAAAAGAGTTTTTTACGTGACGTACTCACTAATCCTTCCTTCATGGGAGCTCTTGAATTGTTCCCTCCATTCCTTAGAACATCCTTTCTACCTTCCTCCATTCACATGGAATAAATCGTCTAAGGACGTCGGCAAGCCTCTCCAGCTCCACCAGTAAGCTTTATACCCAAACTCACACAGATGCATTAACTTAAAAGGAAGAGGGTCCAACTTGTTTCAGCAACCACAGTGGTAATTATATACTCCCGACCCAGCATTTCAGAACTTGGGCAAGAGACTCTCTGGATTAAGAAGGGCCTTAGTCTAAGAGTCATCAGCCTTACCTTCTTGCCTCCTGGAGAA